TTAACCCAACAAAGATGGTGGTTAATTTGCATATGTAGGCGCGAAGTGGCAGAGCGAAGACTGAAGGCTCTGGCCAGAGCAGCAAAGGCCTGGGTCCCGAGTGCCGGAGGAAAACCGGTGCTGGCAGCCAGGGGAAGGGAAGGCCTATTGCATGAATCTCTTCATGCAAAGGGCCTCTAGTTGTCTAATAAATATCTAACCGTCGCCACATTATAATTTAGAAGAATCTCTCCTTTGCCTCAGTATTATTTTGGAAACCTATCAATGTGATCATATAGAATAGTATAAAACTATAAAATTATTATTTAAATACAAATAAAAGAGACTATGTGAGAAAATGCACATTCACCCTTGTTTTATGTACTTTAAAAAATTCTATTTAAGTAGTTCATAAAATACCAGCTTAAATCATTATATTATGGATAATCCAATAAGCACATTTTACTTAATTTTTACTTTTTTCTTAATATGACAACTATTAATTTAATGAAACTTTAAATGCAGTTGAAATTCTATTCAAGGTGAATAAGCATTTCTTCATAAAGAATGTAGAAATAAAATAATAATAAACAAATAATAATGAGATTATTAGAGTCCTTAAAAAATTACTTCAGAAAAGGAAAAATCCAATCTTTATCAACTTTAAAAAATCTTTTCTCAGTGTCTCAAAGTATTTGTCTACCCATGTATCACTTGTCATTTAGTACTTTAGACTGCTCTAGGAAGAACAAAACATCCATGTTCCATTCAAACAACCCTTTTTCCTTCCTTTTCTCACTTTTTTTCTTCAAATAGTTTTTAAGTGACAGGGACCTAGTTGACTCCATTGTTTAGTTCTTCAGAAGAACACGAGAATTCCTAAATAGAGCAAACCCATCCTTCTAGGATTTGACTTCTAGAATCCTATCTGAACCTAGAAAAAAACAAATTCCTTTGATAAGTTTCCTCTCACATAGGCATGGAGTGAGAATTCAGGTGTGTGTGTTGGATTAGATTTACACAACACTCTGCGTTTCCAAATTCTCCAAATTAGGAGAGAGTATAAATATGCCATGAATTCATAGGCACTCTTAAAACTTATCTGAGACCAGGTAGGAAATCTTTTTAAAATGGGAGCATCTTAATATGGAAAAAGACCTTGTTTTTGGGCTGAAAACTAATGGCTGTAGATACTGGTTTTGATCTGGACAATGTGCCTCACTCTTTTTTTCTTCAGGGATATTTATAAGAAGTCATTAATTTAATTATTTCTTTTGTTTTGAAATAAATCAGCATCTAATCTGAAAAAAAAGGAAACTTCTTAATTTGACTTATTTGGCTGTAAATTACTTCCCTCATTTCAAAGAACCACTCTTTCAAGTATATAATTTTTCTCTTTGTGGAGTCAGTTAACAACCTCCCCCCTGCCCTCCCCTCACACATTAAAGTCTTCACAGAAGAAAAAGAGTGCTTATATTCAAACATAAAAATATTTACCTCAATATCTACTAAAATATAACTTGTCTGCATTCAGTAAAAAATTAGAAGGCACACAGGAAGGCAAAAAAAAAAAAGTCTGTGGATAAAAAAAGTAGTCATCAGAACCAGATTCAGTTGTCACACAAATGTTGAAACACTCAAACAGGGAATTTAAGTAATTTTTATTAATATATTGAATATCCTAATAGTAAAATAGTCTTGCAAGATCACATTGCTAATTGCAACCCAAAGATGGAAACTATAAGAAATGCTAGAAATCAAAAGTTCAGTAATAGAGAAAAATAGTGCATTTGATTGGCTTATCAGTATATGAAACACAGTCCAAAAGAGTCCATAATTTTGTGATTCAAAAGGATAGAAACTTGTGGGTTATGCTTGACAATTGGAAAGAATAGACATGAACAATAAACATAAAAGTAGCCTTCCTTTTTTATTGCGATTTCATATTCCACAAACAGTAGGAGATTTTAGATACTGATGGACCAGAACAAGTTCTGCTATTTTGTAGTAATTGAAATAGGATACCTTTTATTCTTTTATAGCTTCACTCTTGGAAATGTGAAGGTGTTTAATTTAAAAGAGAAATATACAACAAAAATATACTGAAAAATATTGTTGCCATAAGGGTTCAACCCATGCTGCCATATAGTTTTATAATGTGTTTCCTACTTTAATATTTTAAAAATCAACTTTCCATTACAGAAAAATCTTTAGACATCCATCTATATCAATGAAGTAAACTTGAATCTGGAGATATTTGAACATTCTTTGAAGATTATTTGCTAATTGCAAAAAGAAGCTAGGATAAATGCTATGTTCTAATATAGTAAAATATTAGATCTGAAATATTTGGAATAACCTGGGAATTTAGCTAAATACCAGATAATTGTTTTATTACTAGGGATTCAAGTAAAACTCTGCTTATAAATTGTTTTTCATATTGCTTAGATTTTAATTTGGGAAGCCAGCAAACATATATAGATATTAGGTATAGCTGTCTAAATTTTTAGGATAATAATTTAAAACTAAATCTAAAGAATAAGAAGCTGATTTTAATCAGCTGATTATATGTGGCAATTATATATGTGGTTAAAGTGGATAAGATCAAATAGGAAAAATGTGAAGAGTTAGAAAAGAAGTGGTGGAGGTCAGAGCCCTAGAGAACATCAATGTTTGTATAGGAGAAAAAAGAGGAGTCCATTCCAAATGTTTAGAAGAAAGAAAATTATAAGAATTACCAGGTAGTAAGTCTTAATTAGTAGGGTCAAATAAAATGGTGCCCCTGTGTGCATCATTCTTTTCTACTACAATTTCTCACCTGCAAGGTATGATATATGTATGTATGTGTGTGTGTATATATATA